ACTTACCTCCATCACAATACCTATTAAATTGTACTGTGATTATTCATTTATCTGACTGTTTTCCTACTGTAAAACAGCCAGTAAGGGCCAAGCCTACTCCATATCTTCATTCCATGTTTCAGAAAAATGCATAATAGAATAGGAGCTAAAAAATGTTTGTCAAATATTAACTACACGAAGAGGAATAATACTGTAGTTAGCAATACAATGTAATGATGCAGTCTAGTGTTGATGATAAGGCATTCAGCCAACAGAAAGTTGGTTGAACATTAAAAATACTGTTTTCCCAACTCCTGACCATGCTAGGCTCACAGATCTTGCCAAGTTGTTTATAGACATTATGATATGCTCATGCCATTTGTCTCATAAGTGATTTGTTTGGCATTTCATTACAGTCACATTTGTAACTATTAGGGACTCTATTAAGAGTTCCCCTCATCTGTCCATTCACATAGTCCAATCATATACAGATGCTACAATATATGCTCACTAAATATTATTTGATAGTAGATATTTACTCTAATGTGCAACATACAGATGGTATATTATACACAACCAAGTTCTTGTGTCTCCACTTTCACCATAATTTCCATAGTATGTAATTAAATCTTCTATTTCTTTAGTATCCTTAACTACTTCAAAAATGTCAATCAATGAACTAACTCAATTACACACCAGCAAAGTCATCCCTCTGAAATCAGGGTTGTTCAGAAGTCTCTTCTGAATATATGAACAGAGCCCAGAAAGAAAAAAATTAAACCAAAAATATTCCTGACCAAAAAATTAGAGGATAAGGAACATTGAAAAATACTATGGCAGGATATTTAAGTCAAGTTTTTATGATTATTCACTTTTCTTAGCTGAAGTCTATGTTTTTATGCGATGTATGCTATTTTTCCATTTGTGGTTTATACATTCATCTCTCAGGTTCCTAAATGTTATTTCCAGAATATCAAGTCATAATGATGTTTTAATTTCCAAAACAAATTTATTATGTAATTATTTCCAAGAGAAGTTTTCTCATTTCCTTACTCTTTTGCAATTTTGGCAGTCCTGTATTTCAGATTTTTTTTACATTATGCGATCATAGTATCATTTATTTAATTAATAACCAGTTCTGAATAGTTCAGGAAAGGATCTTAGGAAAATGGAGCAGCAAAACAATGTATAAAACACTTTTAAAAGCCAATAGCCACCCCCTTAACCCCCAAGAAAACTGACAAAATCTAATATATTGAATGATTCTCAATGATATCCGAATGATTTTAAGTATTTGTAGATGGATCATATCATCAGATTATCATGCCAGAAACAGAAAAATAAATAATCTAGCATTGCAAAAGAAAGTAGACAGGCTAAATAGAATTTTGCATTAGAAGTTGGACTTTATCCAACTTTACCTCTTCTACTAAATGTATCACTGTGCCTTATACACATAGATTAATTTAAAAACGTGTGGGAAGTGTACCTATTATCTTCTCACTTTCTGTCTATATGATGAACCTTGAATTAGCTGGCTCCTCCCATCCTCCATGAGACAGATGATCCATAAAGACCAAGCACAGATACCCCAGCTCCATCTGGGACAAACTCCCTTGCTTTATTTCTGACATTTCTCCTGTTCTGTTCCAGACTTAAGCAGCTCAGGTCTTCTGGCTTTGAATGCCTTTGCAGGTCCCATCTGTGTTCTTTGAACTTGGCAGAAATTAGCTTCAGAGATATCTAAGCCAAGGTTCATATTCTGAAATGAGCTGTCCCAGGTAAGATACTTTTCCTTAGCTCTTACTCTAAAATTTAAACTCTGGCTCTGGCCCAGCTGTATCATCTGGGTTTACTTAGGTCTACTGAGAGGTTTTATTCGGTACGGAGAGGTGAAAAAGGCAACAAAAAACAAGGACATGCTGCAGTCCTTCAAGGGCAATTTCCATATGTACTCACCTCAGGACACTTTGATTCTAAAACAGTGGCCCAAAGCCATTCATTTATGCATTATTTCAACAAATATTTGTAGAGTGCTTAGTATGAACCAGAGTCATTGGAGACAAACAGGGATGAGGTTTTACAGCTTTCCTGCAGAGTACATAATCCACAATGGGAGTATGTAAACCTACGATGTGCTATTAACTCTTATGTTTATTGAAGAAAAGCAAGCAAATTTTCAGCGACCCATTAAAGTCAGTTTCATAGAGAAACGTGAAGAGAGATTAGAGAGAGAAAAAAACTCTTCATGCCTTGCTATGATAAACTTTATACAATGAACATGTATTACAACTACCATTAGAAAACAAAACATTTACATTTTTCAAATTTTAAAGAATCACTTTCATATTTCTAGGCCAGTTTATCATCAAATCCCCCAAAAAGGGTAATAATAGAAGGGGTAATCACACAACCTTTCAATCATTCATGAGTGAGTCACATACTTTATAACCTGGAAATTATATGTCATTTCTTACCCCCAATACAAATTTGAATTTCTTAATTCTCTGGGTTTTTCTCTTAGGATCATGCTCAAGTATTTTTTAATATAGTCATGGATTTTGTACATCTTTTCCAATAAATAAGATGGAGTTTTTATATTTAAACTTCTTTTTACAGATAAAGTGTTTGAAACTGGGGCTACAAAATAAATCAAGGATCTGTCTCAACAGTAAAATATGTCCCCCCTCCCATCTAAGTGCATCTCCTAGTAAAGTACAGATGTATCTTCCTTTCTGAAAGTCAGATATGGAAAATTTAATTTCATGTTAATTTTTTGTAAATTCTTGAGCTTATTTTTTAATTTATCTTTTAAGCGAAAGCAAGTTTATTAGAGAAATACAGAAGTGAAAGAACGGCTGTTCCATAGGCAGAGCAGCCTTGAGTTTGTGTGTGTGTGTGTGTGTGTGTGTGTGTGTGTGTGTGTGTGTGTGTGTTGCTTTTTTTTTTTTTTTTAATTTAGAAGTTTGCAGCATTTATGATAGCTTGAAATGGCTGAAGACATTTACGGCACTTTGTATTTTGTCCTCCATTGGACCAAAGCTTTTCTTGTATCCTTTCTGCCATGGAATTTAAGTAATCAGGAAAATGTTAGAAAGGAAATAACTGGAAAAGATTGGAACAGAAATACTAATGATAGGATCTGTTTTAAAGCAACACAACATTCTAGAACACCTTTCCACCCCTTGACCAAGATTACTGTAATGACAGCACAGGTCCCTGTGAGCACCAGTAGCTACGAGGACATTTTGGACACTGAAATTGCATTTATATGAATAGGCTTCATTCTAGGACCTGCTTTGATTTCTTAAGGACTCACACTGCTCTATAGGTGCTGTGTATAGTTAAGTACAGTTGGGTGGCAGTAGGGATATAGAAAATTTTAAATGTAAAAAAATTAGGTAGTGAATCTTTTATTACATCCTCTTTTCTTCTTTATAGAATAATTCATAGCAGGTTGATTTTCTGTTTAGGCAACATTGGGAAAAGCTATTTCCATTTTCTTTATTTAAAAAACTTTTATACGTCACTTAATCCATGATGACTCTTACAAATGTTGACTCATTTTTCATAACTACCTTGGGTTTAGCACACAGAGGTTAAATAATCTGCAGGTGATGTTTTGCAACTAAATGCAGGCAGCCAAGTTGTATTGCCCTGTGTTTGGCTAGGGGCAAGGGCTCTTATGCTTTGAACTAGGCTGTGCAGAGCTCTGTACCCAAGGCAGAGGCCATTCCTTTCTCCTCTCTTCTCTCTGTTTTACTCCCTGTCTCAGAGATGTCTGAAACTGACTTGGAGATTCACACTAAAGCCCTCTAAAACCTGATGATGAATCAAAATAAATTCTCTAAAACTGTAGAAAAAGTGATAGAGGCGTCAGGTTAAAAGGCTGAAATTCATGATCAGAAAGCGGCAATGCCTATGTTTCCAGAGAAAGCAGGTCCAACATCAAATACCAGAGAGTCTGATAGTAAATGGAACGTGCCTCTATGTGGGATCTGGTGTTCGTATTTCATCTGAACGGATATCTGCTGCTTCAGTGGGAAGAGTGCTTGCACACCAGGTACCCACATCCCAGTGTCATGTGCTGTGCCGTCCAAAGACAGAGAACCAGAAATAGTCCATGAGGCTGCCGGACCCAGCAAGTCCCTCATGTCATAGATCAAATCTGCGACATATGGGAGTGACAGCCAGTGCCCAGCTTCAGAGTGATAGCCCATTCCATTATGTCATATATCAAATCTGAACCTCTGATAGGGGGAGAAGGAGATCTCTAGGAACTTTTGGAAGTCCCAATATTTCAGAGGGAAGAAGGAAGTTATGCAGGATAGGAAAAAAAGAGGTCATGTTACAGCCTGGGCTTCCACTGAAACTAACACTGAATTCGACTTTTGACTGATAATCTGTTGCCACCAAATGGAAAACGTAAACAAGATATTTCATGTGTGATTAGAGAATATGCAACACAAGGAACAAGCAGAACATTCTTCTCTGGAATCTGACATGATGGCTGCTGTATTTTTACAGGGAGCATTGATTTCAGATATATGTGAAATATGCTAAACCGAAAAGCAGAGACCGAATACAGAGAGAGGTTAATTAGATAGAGAATACGATATCTAGAAGATAGCTAGCCAAACAAAATCTAGCCTTCTAGGCCCTCCTTAATTTCTCTTAAATCCCGCATCCCAACCCTATTAACTAAGTAGTTATCACTGTCTTCTAAAGAGTTCGTGACTCCCTTGTTGTGGTTCTCAGGGATCCGTCCCAGGTCTTACTCTCCTCCCTGTCCAGGGTCCTTCCCCGCAGGCGGTATTTCCAGCGAGGTGGACTCAATGCCCTTCCAGGGATTTGGAGCAGAAGCGAGTATCCCACAATCCACGGGAGTTACTCTGGAAGGCGAACCGGGGAGGCGGCACCAGTGGGTAACCAGCCACCGCCCACCACCCACCACCCAGGGGGCAGGGCCAGCCCTTTTCTTCCGTACTCGGGATCGACCTGGAGCTCCGATAATTTCCCTGACCCGGGGGTTCCAACCATGACTTCTCAGCCCCAACCATGCATTAAAACGGTTCACCGATCTCGCGCAGCCACAGAGCCTGGGCTGCAGGCACCTTCCTGTCAGTTCCCCTGCTCCTCGCACCGCCGCCCGACCAGCGTTCTGAGCCTGATGGCCTGCGCCGCACCCCACGCTGTCCCCGGCCCTCCCCGGCTCCTGCGGGTGGCGCTGCTGCTGCTCGTGCTCCTGGTGGCCACCTGCCGGCGCGCGGCAGGTGGGTCCCGGCGCCCTGGGGTCCCCGGGGCGAGACACGGCTGGGGTGACGCCCCGCGCCAACAGTCCCGCTCAGCCAGCGAGTCTCTTCTTCCGTAGGAGCACCCGTGGTCACTGAACTGCGCTGCCAGTGCTTGCAGACCCTGCAGGGAATTCACCCCAAGAACATCCGAAGTGTGAACGTGAAGTTCCCTGGACCCCACTGCGCCCAAACCGAAGTCATGTAAGTCCCGCGCTGCGCTACCGCTGCCACCGCCCGCGTCCCAGACCCTCCTGCTGCCCCAACCCTGTCCCCAGCCCGACCTCCTGCCTCAGGAGATTCCCTTCCCTCTGCAGAGCTGCACTCAAGAATGGGCAGAAAGTGTGTCTCAACTCCACAGCACCCATGGTTCAGAAAATCATCCAAAAGATGCTGAACAGGTGAGTTTGCATGTACACAGGCGACTGGGGCCGTTGGTCAGAAATACTGGCATCTGGCCCCCAAAAATAAAATAAGGGAAACCCAGGGGTTAGTTGAAGGACTAGAAATGTGATTATTATTTTCACAGTTAAAGTTGCCATTAAGGTTATTAATCTGCTCTGGTGCCAGAGGGTATTTCAGTATTTCAGTGCCCTCCATTCCCGGGCCTAACCCCTACTGAAATAAGTGAGGGTAAATGTGCCTTCCTCTAAGATTATGTGAATTTGGCTAATGATGCTAAAATGCCTCCTACCTATTTCAGGATGTTTGTCTCACTCCCTCATGGGCATCAGACCTGAAAAGTGAACCCCCCTGATTTGGGGCACAGTGGGACTCTTAACTCTCCCTGGTGAAAAGTAGAGACTTTCCAGTCAGACCCTCATGAGTAGTTCATGTCTGGGCTCTATCTGTCAGTATCCTGAGTCTTAACAAAATCTGAAAACAATAATAGCTACTTCAAAACGTTTGCTGTGAACCTTAGGTGAGGTCATGCATGTAGATTTTTAACCTATGTATAACCCTTGTTTCACTTTTTGAAGCAAATAATACAGTTATGACCACAGGTCCACTATTTCTAGTTAAATAGCATCCCAGAGCCTGGGGCTTTATTTGGCTACACAGAACAACTTTCCTACAAGTAATAACCACTTAGTGTGGGCTAGGAGGAACGATCACGTTTGAAAAACCCTAGAAGGTAAGGATCTAAGGTGGGAAAAATGGTCTGTGGGATCAGTTTCCTGAGTACCTACTAACAGCATTTTTTCATCACAGTGGCAACGCTAACGGACCTAGAGAGAAGGAGAAAGCATATCCGCTACAATTCCTAAAGGAGTCTATTCTTAGAGGAATCAAAGTGAAAGAAGAAAAACAATTAGCTCCTCGGCACACTTGGACTGTGTTTAATGTGTTTAACTGCTTCTTATGAAGGTACTTCTAATTATTTATATATGTATGTATGTATGTATTTTTCAAAGCTTGTCTATTAAGGTTCTTTCTGATATTGAAAAATATGAATGTGTTTGGTAATTCACTGTACTGTCATTTTGAAAGGTATTTTTGTGTTAAACCAAAGTTCAGTCTTTACTGTCATCTAACTTGACGATGATGGATTTTACATGTTCTCCATTAATTAAATGGTGGGAAAGAGATCACATCATGCCAGACATTGTGATAGCAGCTAAAAATAAATAGTGGGGATCCAAGCCAATAGTCAGATCACTGTTAAGATAAATGCATGTATGTCCCATCTATTTTTGTAACTGTTTAGAAGAATGTCAGTTGTTATTTATCAAAACTGTCAAGATTTCTGATGTTGAAGCTATAAAAACTACAATGTTCTAATTATCCTTTGGATATTTTATGTCTTCCTTGTGAGACATGATGCTTTGTTTTGTATTAATTATGTAATGTTCCTCTATGATTTGGAATAATACAGTTTATTTATCGATGTATTTTAACAGAAGAAAACCATGAAAATAAAACCTTTCCAAAAATATCATGCCTAGTTTTGTTTCATACTTTTCAACCTTTCGTTTTTCTTGAGTACTCAAGATGGTAGGACTTTACAACAGACCATGGCTCAGGTCCACTGGACAGTTGCCACTAGGCAGCATTTCCCTTGTTTCTCTCTTGTTCAAGAAAGCATATTTGATGCTTTTTCAAAGGCAGATCCCCACCTTTAAAATACATGTTTTATATAAAATATCCATCTTGTTTCACTACAACCAACCTATTATTCAATTTTACATCTTTAAAATTTTTCCAATTTTAATAGATATTTTTAAAAGAGCTCTCATTCAAATTAAGCTGTTAATGGTTTTCCGATTATGCATTTTTTTTCTTAATGAAGCTGGGAGCTACCTTACAGTAAAGTGGATTCTTCTTTAGAACTCAAGCAATTTGTGCAATGGAAAAAAGAAAAAGAAAAAGTGAGTGCCTGAGTACTTTACATGTGTAAAGGTCTAGTTGAGAAAGGTTTCATTTTCCAGCCTTAATAGAGAGATAATAATTACTGAATTGAACGCAGATCCAGTTCTTTACAGGTGTAATAATGGTTTAAACGTTTTCTAAGCCTATAAATTTGAATTCAAATTGCCCCAGAATGGCAGGAGAGTACCTAGGCTCCACATTAGGAACAAAGGCTGTCATCTCATGTTAGGGAAAGATCTGAGCCTTCTGGGAAAGAACACCTTCCAAACCCAAAAAGGAGACAAATTGGTGGAGGAAGGGAGAGCAAAGTTTTGTGTGTGTGTGTGTGTTTGTGTGTGTGTGTGTGTGTGTGTGTTTCTGATTCAGCACATGTCCCTGGACTCCTGAGCCCTAGTTTATTGCCTGCAGCAGAGGGAAGGGGCCTAGGTTGGTGCCTGGGAGCAAGTGCAGGCTTGTCCTAAGCAGCTGGGTAACTGTAGTCAGGAAACGATTACAGACTCTATTTCCAACCCTGAAAAGTGAGTATAATGGTCTCTATGTAACCCCAATGTTATGTTCTCAGAATACAAAAGATGAGATGGAAAAACAATTTTTAAATTGTACAGCAACAAACAAATGTGAACCATTCTGGAAGCTCTGTAAATGCCATTACCAACTTGTCCTTAACTCAGTGATGTATGTTTTAGGCTGTGGGAAATAAAACTTCCTTGGATTCCTCAGTGTTCTTGTGAAAAGTCTTTTTCTATTCTTAGACCATGAGAATTAAATCTGTAGTCATTTTTTCTAGTTAGTGGATGGATCCAAAAGAATAATGAAATATCTCTAATCTCCCCCAAGAAAACCCAAAGGTTACATCCAGGACTTGGTCCCTAGATTAAGCCCTAAAGTGCTGGGGAGAGTGGAATGCCATCTTCCTAACTATTTACATATCAAAAGAGATGAAGCCCACAGAACCTAAAGACATCAGTAGGACACACAAAGTGAAGACCAGAGGGCTACTAGGTTCTAGGGGAAAGATATTTACATCCTAAAGGGTTGGAGTTAGGGCTCCAGCTCATTGTATTCCATGAAGACCCTTTCAGGAGGGTAGTGAGACAACTTCTTGCTTCTCCTTTACAAGCAGAAGGAAACATCTATTCCTCTCCTTACCCTATGAAGGATGTGTCCCAGTGTGCGAGACAATAGATGTGACTTTCATTGCATCACCTCAGGGGTAAGGCCCAAGGCAAGCAGGAGGCTTGACACACTTAATGAGAGGTATTTAGTAGGAAATCTGCCTGGGATCCAGAATCCCCTCTGTGTAAATTTTAAATTTTAAAATATGGTTAAAAACCCAACATAGACTTCATTAATGATGTATGGAAAGAAGAAAGAAGATGCAGTCAGTTCATATGGTGATTAAGAACATAGGCTATGAATAATTGATGGATCAGGGAATAGAGTCCAGTTGTAACACCTCTTGTGTGATCTTGAGGTTAAGTTTCTTGATTAAACTTTATTTTCTCATTGTATTAAAAATGCTATACCTTTTTGTAGTTGTTACTAAATTTATGCATTATAATTATGTATGCAAAGAGCTAAGCAGTGCCTGAGAGATGGTAGTGGCTTTGGAATTTCTGGAACAAAGAGGGAGCAGTTTGATTGAAGATGGATGCAGTGTATTCGTTTCTTAATGCTGCTGGAAAAAATGATCACAAATTTAGTACCTAAAAACAATATAAATTTATTGTCTTACTGTTTGGGAGACCAAAAGACAAAAATCAGTTTCACTGAGCTAAAGTCAAAGTGTCCACAGGCTGGTTTGTTCTGGAGGTCCTAGGGGAGAATGTGTTTCTTTGATCTTTCCAGCTTCGAAGGCTGTCTACATTCCTTGCCTTATGGTTTCCTTTCTGCATCTCCCTGCATCTCCAATGCATAGCTTCTTCACATCTTTCTTTCTGTCCCTTTGTTCTGTGACATTGCCTTCTGTCTAACTCTAATACCTCCTGCATCTTTTCTATAACAACATTGTGATGATATCTGGCCCACTCAGGATAATTAGGGATAAAATTCTCATTGCAATATTGTTAATTTCATCATTTCTGCAAAGTCCTTTTTACAATGTAAGGTGATATATTTATCGGTTCTAGGGATTAGGACAATGACATCTTTAGGGGGCCATTATTCAACCTACTACAGGGTTTTGAAAGTCAGCGTTCGAAGCACATTTTATAGGCTAAAAAACATGTACATATTAGGGAAAAGAAGTCTGAAATCGTGGGAGGAACCAAAATGATGCCAGCTCTGGCTAGTTTTCAATAAATGCAACTATTGTTAATGTTTCTAAATTAAAGAAAAGAAGACTTGGGTATTTTCTCCAGACTGGAGAGCTTCAAACCAAACCAAAAAAGATTCATTACATAACTGGAGGGAAGGCATGAATTACCAGAAGACCAAGAAGAAGGTTTGGGTGGAAAACTTTGAGAGGGTCCCTGGATCAATGTTTATCTTTGGTACTTGATCCCACTCTCATTTATATCAATGTATTATTGGAGCAAGCAGTAACAGCAAGAGTGAATACCACATTAAATTCTCTGTGAAAATTTGGAGTGCAAGGCAGACCTCCATTTAGGACACCAAGGGGGCGGGTGGCAGATAGGGGTATTTGAGGGAATGGTACCAGATCATGAGGGCAGAAAACAGATGTTATCTGCATTTAAAGATCAGTCTTAGAGCAGTGTGATACAGCATGACATGTGACTCTGAGAGGCAAGCAACAATGTCAACAGTACCTGAGACTTTTGGAGCAAATAAACTACAAGAGAAAAAGAGGAATGATGGATGACCCCACTCTGTTATTATGATTCCTTATTTGAGAATTATCCTGAAATCTCCTGTTAGAGATTTCCAGAAACTGGTGGGATGTGAGAGATAGAGAGATGGAGCTTCTGCAATAGCAGGATTGGGCAATGTTTCCTCTGCTGGAATATCAAAGTTATAAGACAGGAGTTCATTTGTACTAGGTTTCCCATAAAGACCGGGACAAAGGCGTATGTGGCTATACCAATTCTAAGTCCACAAGCCCACATCTGGGGCCTTATCTTTAGCTGGGTGTCTGGTATCCCTGTGGAAATATTTTATCCTCTGCCTTGAGACTGATAGTGACAGGTGACTGGGATGTGCCTTTTACTTTCAATAGTCTGATGGGGAAACATAGGATGATCTAGGGAGTGGCAAACAAATCAAGTGGACCTGGTCTCATAGTAGCAAGTCAGAGAACATAGACATCTGCTCTGTAGGCAAGAAACAAATACAAGTCCACTTAATCTACTCCCCTGACAGAACTATCCAAATACAAAACAAGAAAGAGAGTCAAGATTTTGAACGTTAATCCAGGAGTCTTGCAAAAAATGATGACATGAACCACCAAGCATAGTTGTTTTTGTGCATATTCTAGAGCCATGGCTTCCTTCTGCTTCTCAGGATTCTTCTCTGACCCTTCACTATAACCACTGCAGTGTGGACCAGAGGAAATGTATGGACATCATAGCCAAACATGCTTGGAATGAGCATGGAATAAGTGCGGAATAAAAATCTCTACCACGTCTTGTGACCTTGCCAAATGACTTCCCTCCTCTAAGTTTGAATTTCCTCATCTGTAAAATAAAAATAACACTTGTAGGGTTGTTGTAAGGTTTCAAGTTAATTCAGAAAAAGTATATAGAGTAGTACTGGTACAAAGCAATACTCTGCAAATGGTTGTTATTACTACTATTTATAGTGTCTGAAGGAAAATTTTTTAAAAATCTCAAGACCCCCAAACTCCTTATGCCAAAATGAAAGTAAGGCCTGGAAGCTGAGTCATGCAACACATTCTTCCAAATGAGTAACTATTACCAACATAATGCATTAGCCAGATCTCCACAGAAAGGTAAAAGGTCTCAGGTCTAAAACTAAAGTCTGTTTCAAGTCCACAGATTCCACACTGATAATGTAGATTACAAGCTTATGTTCCCAAGTGAAGAACAAAGACAAGAGGAGACTGATCTTTCCCCCACCTCCCCAGAAATGTTTGCATAATTGATTCTTCCTTTACTATTTTTTTTCTTCAAACATTCCCCTTATCTTATGCAAAATGTAGATTTACTGGGCACTAACTAAAGTCTCACGATAATGTAACCGTTTGCCGTACTGCCTACCTGCCATTCTTCCTACATGCCTTCCCCTGTTTAAGTAAATGCATAAATACTAAACCCCTTAAAAATATCTTTGGATGTTTGTCGCTTTTGCTTTTCCTGACCACACCTTGTTGCCCCATTCTTGCATTGTTGTAAAGAAATATCAGAGACTGGGTAATTTATAAAGAAAATACATTAAATTGGCTCACAACAACGATGAATACACAAGATGCATGATGCTGGCATCTACTTTTGGTAAGGAAGCCTCAGGAGGCTTACAATCATGAGCCTCAGGAAGCTTACAATCATGGTAGAAGGCAAAGGGGGACCCAACATACCTCACGGTGAGAGTGGGAGCAAGAAAGGAAGCAAGTGAGAATATACCACACACTTTTAAACAGCAAAATCTCAGGACAACTCACTCACTTTTGTGAGAAAAGCACCAAGCTATGAAGAATCTGCCCCAATGACCCAAACTACACCCACCAGGTCCCATCTCCAACACTGGGGATTGCATTTCAACATGAGATCTGGGGGGACAAGTATCCAAACTCTTAATATATCAGTGCCCTAAAGCTGGCTTAATAAACCTTGATTGATTGAGATATTTGCCTCAGTCACTCATTTTTGTTATTAGTACCTGTCAGAATAAGCAATTATTTTTGAGAAAGGAGATATAATGTAGTTCTAATGGAGTATTTAATGTGATTTAAAAATTTATATTGTCCTTAGAGCAGCTGAAGATCATGGTTATGCAGTAAGTTATTTGAAACAAACCTGAGAATCTGACAATCTTGGAATTTAAAGAGTCTACAATTCATTACCAGTTAAATATATTAAACCTATTATCAATCCGACATTGGGTCAAACTTCTCAAAATAGATACCTGTATTTGAAAACCTAATCACAATCTTTTTGGCAAATTCTACAATAACTGCCATTAACTCCTAAATCAGCCCGTGGGTGCCACCGAAGAAGCATCGCTACAGTCTCTCTTCATCCTGCCATTATGTCTAAGTCAGAGTCTCCTAAATAACCCAAACAGCTGAGGAAGCTCTTCATTGGAGAGTTGAGCTTTGAAACAACAGATGAGAGCCTGAGGAGCCATTTTGAGCAATGGGGAATGCTCATGGACTATGCAGTAATGTGAGATTCAAACACCAAACACTCCAGGGGCTTTGGGTTTGTCACTTATGCCACTATGGAGAAGGTGGATGCAGCCATGAATGCAAGGCCACACAAGGTGTATAGAAGAGTCATGGAACCAAAGAGAGCTGTCTCAAGAGAAGATTCTCAAAGACCAGGTGCCCACTTATCTGTGAAAAAGATATTTGTTGGTGGCATTAAAGAAGACAGTGAAGAACATCACCTAAGAGATTATTTTGAACAGTATGGGAAAATTGAAGTGATTGAAATCATGACTGATCAAGGCAGTGGCAAGAAAAGGGGCTTTGCCTTTGTTACCTTTGATGACGATGACTCCGTGGATAAGATTGTCATTCAGAAATACCACACTGTGAATGGCCACAACTGTGAAGCTAGGATAGTCCTGTCAAAGCAAG